GTGAGGAATTGTTCATGTGTGGTCTCCCAGTGAGGGAGTGCTGACATGTGGAACCTGCATTAATTTTCTGACAAGGCCAGGAAGGTTATGTATCCCAGACTGTGACAAGGCCAGGAAGGTTATGTGTCCCAGACTGTGACAAGGCCAGCAAGGTTATGTGTCCCAGACTGTGACAAGGCCAGGAAGGTTATGTGTCCCAGACTGTGACAAGGCCAGGAAGGTTATGTGTTGCAGACTACAAGGCCAGGAAGGTTATGTGTCCCAGACTGTGACAAGGCCAGGAAGGTTATGTGTCCCAGACTGTGACATGGCCAGGAAGGTTATGTGTCCCAGACTGTGACAAGGCCAGGAAGGTTATGTGTCCCAGACTGTGACATGGCCAGGAAGGTTATGTGTCCCAGACTGTGACAAGGCCAGGAAGGTTATGTGTCCCAGACTGTGACAAGGCCAGGAAGGTTATGTGTCCCAGACTGTGACAAGGCCAGGAAGGTTATGTGTCCCAGACTGTGACATGGCCAGGAAGGTTATGTGTCCCAGACTGTGACATGGCCAGGAAGGTTATGTGTCCCAGACTGTGACATGGCCAGGAAGGTTATGTGTCCCAGACAGTGACAAGGCCAGGAAGGTTATGTGTCCCAGACTGTGACATGGCCAGGAAGGTTATGTGTCCCAGACTGTGACAAGGCCAGGAAGGTTATGTGTCCCAGACTGTGACAAGGCCAGGAAGGTTATGTGTCCCAGACTGTGACAAGGACAGGAAGGTTATGTGTCCCAGACTGTGACATGGCCAGGAAGGTTATGTGTCCCAGACTGTGACAAGGCCAGGAAGGTTATGTGTCCCAGACTGTGACAAGGCCAGGAAGGTTATGTGTCCCAGACTGTGACAAGGCCAGGAAGGTTATGTGTTCCAGACTGTGACAAGGTCAGGAAGGTTATGTGTCCCAGACTGTGACAAGGCCAGGAAGGTTATGTGTCCCAGACTGTGACATGGCCAGGAAGGTTATGTGTCCCAGACTGTGACATGGCCAGGAAGGTTATGTGTCCCAGACTGTGACAAGGCCAGGAAGGTTATGTGTCCCAGACTACAAGGCCAGGGAGGTTATGTGTCCCAGACTGTGACAAGGCCAGGAAGGTTATGTGTCCCAGACTGTGACATGGCCAGGAAGGTTATGTGTCCCAGACTGTGACAAGGCCAGGAAGGTTATGTGTCCCAGACTGTGACATGGCCAGGAAGGTTATGTGTCCCAGACTGTGACAAGGCCAGGAAGGTTATGTGTCCCAGACTGTGACAAGGCCAGGAAGGTTATGTGTCCCAGACTGTGACAAGGCCAGGAAGGTTATGTGTCCCAGACTGTGACGTGGCCAGGAAGGTTATGTGTCCCAGACTGTGACATGGCCAGGAAGGTTATGTGTCCCAGACTGTGACATGGCCAGGAAGGTTATGTGTCCCAGACTGTGACAAGGCCAGGAAGGTTATGTGTCCCAGACTGTGACATGGCCAGGAAGGTTATGTGTCCCAGACTGTGACAAGGCCAGGAAGGTTATGTGTCCCAGACTGTGACAAGGCCAGGAAGGTTATGTGTCCCAGACTGTGACAAGGCCAGGAACGTTATGTGTCCCAGACTGTGACATGGCCAGGAAGGTTATGTGTCCCAGACTGTGACAAGGCCAGGAAGGTTATGTGTCCCAGACTGTGACAAGGCCCAGGAAGGTTATGTGTCCCAGACTGTGACAAGGCCAGGAAGGTTATGTGTCCCAGACTGTGACAAGGCCAGGAAGGTTATGTGTCCCAGACTGTGACAAGGCCAGGAAGGTTATGTGTCCCAGACTGTGACATGGCCAGGAAGGTTATGTGTCCCAGACTGTGACATGGCCAGGAAGGTTATGTGTCCCAGACTGTGACAAGGCCAGGAAGGTTATGTGTCCCAGACTGTGACATGGCCAGGAAGGTTATGTGTCCCAGACTGTGACAAGGCCAGGAAGGTTATGTGTCCCAGACTGTGACAAGGCCAGGAAGGTTATGTGTCCCAGACTGTGACAAGGCCAGGAAGGTTATGTGTCCCAGACTGTGACAAGGCCAGGAAGGTTATGTGTCCCAGACTGTGACAAGAACCAGGTGAAGACTTTAATCTAAAAGCCATGCCTAATGTCCCGCCCCACACACGCACGCACACACTTGTGCCCCCCCCCCCCCCTTGAGTCTGAGTGTGACTCTAATGTTTTCACCAACCAGACAACTAATAAACTGGTGGTCAGATGAAAGGGACATGACAAATTCCAATGGTGACATCACAAACCGACAAGTATTTACAACAGATGATAAGAGTCCAGCTTGGGTGATGTTACTGGCCAGGGGAAGGGACATGAAGGGACTACACAAGATGACCAGAGTCACTACAGGTGCTGCACCTGATGGTCAGTGTGAAGCCCTATACCTGGCAAAGTGGAGGTCCCCTGGAGAATACCTGAGGTCAGGGACCTGGGCTTTGTGTGTGTGGGAGTTGTAAGGTTGTGTGTGTGAGGCTCATGGGTTGGGGGAAGATTAGGTTTGTGGGCAGTTTTGCTGGATATAAGGTGTGGTGAGTGGAAAGTGTTAGGTGTGTGAGTTGTTTGGCTGGATGTGAGATATGTGTGGAGGATGTTAGGTGTGTGGGTTGTTTGGCTGGATGTGAGGTATGGTGTGTTGAGGATATCAGGTGTATGGGTTGTGTGGTTGGGTGTGAGGTATAGTAGTGTGTGAACTGTACTTGGTGTGAGGGTTGTGTGGCTGGATGTTTGGGCTAGAGATTTTCTTATGTTATGTGAATGGGATGAAAAATGTTGAGAAGTGTGAGGGATATCAGACGTGTGGGCTGTGGGAGAGAGTAGAGAAGTGTGAGGGATATCAGACGTGTGGGCTGTGGGAGAGGGTAGAGAAGTGTGGATGAAACAAGGGGCAGGCAGCCCTGAAGGTGTGGGGGGCAGGCTGAGTAGGGGTGTTGCCAAGACAACCGGCACAGTGAGAGTTTCAGTGGGAGATATGCTGAGAGAGGTGTGAGGAGGAAGCAGGGTGATGTGGGGGAGGGATGGCAGGAAACTAGAGGATGGAGATGGCAGCAGGGAAACTGTTGGGAGAGACTCTTCACAGCTAGATAATAATGATGATGATGATGATAATGATGACTGGTGATAAAGTGAAGGATTTAAAACAGCGTTCAGTGCATTGCGGTGTCTAGACGGCATCTGTTTTTGTGCCAGGATGGGCGTGTTTGAGACTGTTTGTGATGGCGACACTAACTCACTGAAACTGAGCAAAAAAACACAGCATGCAGAGCTTTGGTGATCAGACATAAAGGTCACAACACAGGTCACAAGAACAACTCTGACAGTCGTAACACCAAACAGGATATGTCTGCACATTGCTGCCCACAGAGAAAAGTAGCAGACAGAGAAAAAGACACAAAGGACAGGAGGCATCCATATAAAATGTCAGCAATGGCAAAGTGTCATTAATTAACATGTGTAAGCATTAGCAGGTACTGATTACACTGGAGAGGGTATCGCGTATTTTCCTCCTTGTCACTTCAATGTTGAGAATATGTGTGCGCAGCTAGCACTGTAGTTCTAGTAATTGGAAGCTTTCACAAATTACAGTTTTTCAATGAGTGGTATAAGCAAACCTTCTTTTTGCTATGTTCAAGCCGTAAGAAACGATTATAGCCATTATATGCATACCTGGTCCCTAGATGGTTGATGCTTTCCGTGTAACAAAGAGAGAAAACACCAACATAGGACTTGCCTAGAGGCTAACAGACTCAGAGTGGGGCTGATCAGGGCAGGCAAGTTCTCTGATCACATTCAGTGGCAGGAGAGAACACATGACAGCATCAATGAGACATTCAGTGGCAGGAGAGAACACATGACAGCATCAATGAGACATTCAGTGGCAGGAGAGAACACATGACAGCATCAATGAGACATTCAGTGGCAGGAGAGAACACATGACAGCATCAATGAGACTCATCAGCTACAGCTAATCACCAGCTGGTTGGGATCTTCATCTCTGTGTTCCCCAGCTGGTAACTATGGCAGAAAGTTTTGCTGTTCATCCACTTGTGGAATTCAGTCTTATTCCAGAACTTGGAGTTGGTGTGCATACCTGTTTTAGAGATTTGGCTCATTTTTATGCAGACTGTTGGTTCCTCACAAATCAGCTAGGTTTACTACAAATTCAAAGAAAAGACCTTTACATAGTCAACTTGTATGACATGTTTGCTGTGACCCATACAGTCAAACTGCTTGAGCTGAGAGTTAGCACACATGAATGACAGGAGACTGACCAGCTAGCCAGCGAACAAAAGGGCAAACATCAGGACAATGCCTACAGACAGAAAGTGTCATGATGATTCATATAAGCCATCAACACAGTAAGACAGGTGTGCCAACAATGCACATGGACAGGTGTACTGACGGCAAATAAGGAAAGGTGTACTGACAGCAAATAAAGACAGGTGTACTGACAGCACATAAAGACAGGTGTACTGACAGCACATAAGGACAGGTGTACTGACATCACATAAAGACAGGTGTACTGACAGCACATAAAGACAGGTGTACTGACATCACATAAAGACAGGTGTACTGACAGCACATAAAGACAGGTGTACTGACATCACACAAAGACAGGTGTACTGACAGCACATAAAGACAGGTGTACTGACAGCACATAAAGACAGGTGTACTGACAGCACATAAAGACAGGTGTACTGACAAAACATAAAGACAGGTGTACTGACAGCACATAAAGACAGGTGTACTGACAGCACATAAAGACAGGTGTACTGACAGCACATAAGGACAGGTGAACTGACAGCACATAAGGACAGGTGTACTAATGGCACATAAGGACAGGTGAACTGACAGCACATAAGGACAGGTGTACTAATGGCACATAAGGACAGGTGTACTGATGATCTACAGGTACAGGTGTATCAACAACCCACAGGAACAGCTGTACTTACAAGTTCCAGACACCAGATTTTTTCTTTGTCTCCAGTTCCCCAGGGTGCTCCTTGGAGGCCCGGACCATCTCGGTCCACCTAACAGCCTCCTGTAGCTCCATCAGCCGTTCCTTGTACTGGTTGCGTTCCATCAAGACCCGAGCCATCTCAACCCGGGTGAACCGCTTGCGCTGGGCCATGGGAACATCCCCCTGACAGATAACCAACACTGCTGTCACTTCTGACACTGTACACTGACATTATGTCCGGCTAAACAACATAATCAACATTACTGTCACCTCTGACACTGTACACTGACATTATGTTTGGCTAAACAACATAATCAACATTACTGTCACCTCTGACACTGTACACTGACATTATGTCCGGCTAAACAACATAATCAACATTACTGTCACCTCTGACACTGTACGCTGACATTATGTTTGGCTAAACAACATAATCAACATTACTGTCACTTCTGACACTGTACACTGACATTATGTCCGGCTAAACAACATAATCAACATTACTGTCACCTCTGACACTGTACACTGACATTATGTCCGGCTAAACAACATAATCAACATTACTGTCACCTCTGACACTGTACGCTGACATTATGTTTGGCTAAACAACATAATCAACATTACTGTCACTTCTGACACTGTACACTGACATTATGACTGGCTAAACAACATAATCAACATTACTGTCACTTCTGACACTGTACACTGACATTATGTCCGGCTAAACAACATAATCAACATTACTGTCACCTCTGACACTGTACACTGACATTATGTCCGGCTAAACAACATAATCAACATTACTGTCACCTCTGACACTGTACACTGACATTATGTCTGGCTAAATAATATAATCAATATTACTGTCACCTCTGACACTGTGCACTGACATTATGTTTGGCTAAACAACATAATCAACATTACTGTCACTTCTGACAGTGTACACTGACATTATGACTGGCTAAATAACATAATCAACATTACTGTCACTTCTGACACTGTACACTGACATTATGTTTGGCTAAACAACATAATCAACATTACTGTCACTTCTGACACTGTACACTGACATTATGTCTGGCTAAACAACATAATCAACATTACTGTCACTTCTGACACTGTACACTGACATTATGTTTGGCTAAATAACATAATCAACATTACTGTCACTTCTGACACTGTATACTGACTGTCATGAGTCAACCTTACCACACACTGAGAGATAAAGACAAACAATGACTAGACTGACTCATAACAGCAGACAGGTCAATTACTGGTCAGACGGGTTGTGTGTAGAACCACACGGCGAAACAGGTAACTGAGTGGGGAGGTTACAGGGGGACTGGACTGTTTGTCCAGTAGAGTGACACACGGCTGTTAGTAGTTGGACAGTCCAGTGAATGGATGTGTTTGTTTGGGGCCCTTTTAAAAGGTGGGAATTGTTTTTCGCTTGGAATGGACTGGATTTAAAACTGTGAACAGAACAGTAGTGGTTATTCATACTGGTGACAAGTGTTTCTGTTGTATAGCCGGATTATAAAGTTAAGTGTAGTAGTTAGGAGGATACGTAATTATTGCTATAGAGGCATCAGCTAGCTTCTCATGACTTTGTTCATATTTCGAGGATGAGTTTGTGATCAGCTATACCAGCGTACTGTTGATGTATTTAGCCAGTGACTACCTGAGATTAGTGTGCTTATGAACCATACAAATAAAATCTGTGGCTACTCAGTAGTCGATAACATTATGCGGAAGCCATACTAACTTTGCAGTTATCATGAGTTCTTAAATAAACATACTAACTTTGCAGTTATCAAGAGTTTCTTAAATAAATATTATTTAAGAACTGGAACAAGGTCATCAGCGTTTACATGTTCATGGAAGTGTGGGTACACCTGGCACAAATAACAATTGTACTTGTGTCACACTTATAAAAGGTGTCTGACAACTTGGGAGCTCGTCGATTGAACCCCGGCATACCCGACGCATTTCCCAGGGATACACGAAATGACGTCACTAGAAGAATTCATTACCTTAGGGCAGAAGATGGGATTGGCAGACAAAGAGCTACAGAGATGGTCAGAGGATCAGTTTCGCGAATGGAAGAGTGAACAAAGGGAAGAGCGTCTGCAGACCAGAGAAGCAGAGAAGGAGTTAAAAATGGTGGAACTAGCTGCTGAAAAGGAAATAAAATTAGCCCAAATAGCGTTTGAAAGGGAAAAACTACTGGCTGAAGTATCATTAAGAGAAAAAGAAGTGGCCATGCAGGTTAGAGTAAAGGAAATGGACCTAGAAAAGGAGACGGAAAGTAGTTTACGACAGGCACAGATAAAGGCTTCTGAAAACAAGATCAAACGATATCAGGGCATTGTTCAAAACTTCACTAAGGGTGATTCGGTCTCCTCATGGATCTCTAACTTTGAGATTATGATGAAACACTACTCTGTTCCTAAGGACGAATGGCACATAATCTTTCACAGACATCTAGCATTGGAACCCCTTAAAATTGTGGAAACGATACCGGAAGAACTCCGTATGGACTATGAGTATGTGAGAGATCGAGTACTAGCCCATTTTAGTCTTGATGAGGAAGGCTACAGAACACTTGTCAAAACTCTGGCACCAAAAAGCAACCAGACGTTTGTGGACTATGTCGCAGAGGTGCAGAGTACTCTAGATAGATGGCTGAAAGCGGCAAAAGTACAAGACTCTTTCTACTTATTGAAGGATTTGCTAGTGCGTGATAAACTCTTAGTCTCAATTCCTGCTAGTATGTCGACGTTCTTACAAGAGAACAGATGCACATCAGTAGGTGACATGGAGAAAAAAGGAGAAGCATTCTTTTACGCCCATAAGGAGGTCTTTGCGACCTGCTCTCAACCCGATCTAGCTTTTGGGGCAGCTGCGACATATTCTCAAGAGAGAAGTCCCTACAGCTATCAAAACGATAGCACATATCAGAGAAAAGCACGACACCCAGTAGCAAAACGAGGAACTCTAATAACATGTTCACACTGCAATCACAAGCATGGTAGCTTAGATATGTGTGATAAAAACCCAAATTACATGAAGTATCTACGAGATTTTGTCCAAAAACAACAATCTAAGATAACAAGGTATGCCACAAACCTACAGTGCTTTAAATGTGGGGCATTTGGCCATATACGCAGGGACTGCCATGCAAAAAGTATAATAAGAGAGGCTAATATGGTCCTGAATTCATCAAGCAGTGAATCGGAAGAAGACTTAATAGCCAACTCAGTCCAAGAGATTGCTGAACTGGGGATCGAAAAGTGCAAGATATGCAAAGAATTCCATGAAGATGGGAATCTAACTTGCGGAATCTAACTTGTGCCAATTCAAGAAGCACACTCGGCTAACATGACCAGTGGATCCTTGCGCTACTTCTGGGGATTCGCTAACAGTATACCTTGCACAGTAATCCGAGATACAGGCGCGACACTAATTGGTGTACACAGAGCATTAGTGCAAGAGAAAGACTATACAGGAGAGCACATTGTGTGCAGAACTTTTGGAGGTAATAAGGAAAGATATAAGGTAGCTCTTGTAAAAATAAATTGCCCCTTTTACACCGGCATAACAAAGGCAGCAGTACTGCCCGCGCCATGTGCCGGAATACTCATTGGTAATGTACCAAATGTAAATACTGATGATGAGTTAGCAATCAAAAACTGGGAGGAACAGTTTCCTAACGTAAATGCTGTCACAAGACAGCAAATGCAAAAACAAGAAGATAAAGCACAGACAGATCTGATTCAATCCATCAGCATCCCTAACATGGAAACCCCAGCAGGTGGTCAACCCTCATTTTCAGAACTCCAGAGGACGGACCCCACATTAAAGAAATGTTTCAACCTAGAATTTCAAAGTCTGGTAGATGGTGGTTTACACTGAAAAAGGATATCTTGGCAAGGGTGCATAAAAAAGGAACGATGACAGTATCACAAACGGTGCTGCCGGAACAGTTTCGCAAAAAATTACTAGAAATGGCACATGATGCGCCGTTTTCTGGTCATATGGGAACGGCTAAAACAAAATCAAGAATCCTGGGGCAGTTCTACTGGCCAGGGTACAGCAAGGACACAAAAACATTTGTTCGTACCTGTGAGATTTGTCAAAAACAGTCACAGAAAGGGAAAAACCCAAAGGCTCATATCCAGGTGACTGACTTAGCATCTAGACCATTTCAAAAAATTGCAGTGGACATAATCGGACCATTAAATGTTACCTCAAACAAGGGAAACAGATATATCCTTACAGTAATAGATCTGTGTACCAGATGGCCTGAAGCGATTCCGCTTCGAAATATTACAGCTGAGGCTATTGTAGAAGCCTTCATACACATTTTCTCAAGAATCGGCTTCCCTAGAACAATTCTATCCGACAGAGGAACACAATTTATCTCTGCTGCCACACAAGCAGTCACTAAAATGATGGGTATTAAACAGCAATTTGCGAGTCCATACCACCCACAGACAAATGGTATTGTAGAAAACTTAAATGGTACATTGAAACGAATGTTGGCAAAAATTTCAGCTGAACGCCCCGCAGACTGGGACATATTTCTACCAGCCATCCTGTTCGCCTATAGAGAGGTGCCGCAGAGTAGTACAGGACATTCCCCATTTGAGTTGGTCTATGGAGCCAACCCCCGTGGACCATTGCAAATTTATAAAGAACTAATTACGGGGAAAGTTGAAGACCAGCCAACCATAGATGCTTATAATATGGTCATCAGTTTACGGGAGAGGATTATAAAGTCCTGCATGGCTGCAAAACAGGCCCTTGAAACCTCGGGTACTGTGTACAGACAATATGCAAATAGAAAGGCTAAGACAGTTGCCTTAAAAGAAGAAGAAGAAGTGCTTTTACTATTACCACTTCCATCTGATAAACTGTCAGTATCATGGCAAGGTCCATACAAGGTAACCAAAAAAATTTCGGATGTGGATTACGAGATACTGGTGAAAGGCAAGCCAAAAATCTTCCACATTAACATGCTAAAGCCATTTAAGATTCGAGATGAGCTACAACCCCCCAGGCATATAAACGAGCATATTGCGTCTTTAGCCTTAACCATCAATGAGCAACAGGAAGACACTATAACTGACCAAATTCCTACACCTTCAACAACAGTCGAATCATCGTGGAAAGATATTAAAGTCAACAGCGAAATTCCTCATGAGGATAGAGCACTACTAATGAAGATCCTTCAACAGTTCCATGACATCTTTTCAGATACGCCAGGCAGCACATCGGTAATCAAATATGTCCGGCTAAACAACATAATCAACATTACTGTCACCTCTGACACTGTACACAGACAACTCACAGTTTAACTTATATCTTGTACCCATCTTCATATTGGTCGGCCCCTGACCCTCTTTACTGGTTCTTCATGCGCTAGTCGGCCCCTGCCCCTCTTTACTGGTTCTTCATGCGCTAGTCGGCCCCTGGCCCTTTTTACTGGTATCATTCCTTCTGCTATTATTTGTCTAATATGCCACTGCGCTTGACAATGCCAAAATATTTTGGTTTCCGAAACAAGATGCTTTTTGCTAGCCAATCTTCCATGACGTTTAGGTCTTTTAGGATGTCTGTATTTCTTTTCTTATTTGTCCATGGTATTTTGAGATCTTTCTATGGCATTTCAGTTCAAAAGCCCCTTTTTTCTTCCTTTATGACTGTGAGATAGTACATGACTCACAATTGTATGTTGCTACAGGAAAGATGCCTGCTCTCAAAATGTTGACTTGGATTTCCTTGCTGGTGCTCAAACATAGACTGGTAATGCTGTTTAACCCCCAGGGAGGCACTGTGATTTCCTTGCTGGTGCTCAAACATAGAGTGGTAATGCTGTTTAACCCCCAGGGAGGTACTGTGATTTCCTTGCTGGTGCTCAAACATAGACTGGTAATGCTGTTTAAACCCCAGGGTGGTACTGTGATTTCCTTGCTGGTGCTCAAACATAGACTGGTAATGCTGTTTAACCCCAGGGTGATACTGTGATTTCCTTGCTGGTGCTCAAACATAGACTGGTAATGCTGTTTAACCCCCAGGGAGGCACTGTGATTTCCTTGCTGGTGCTCAAACATAGACTGGTAATGCTGTTTAACCCCAGGGAGGCACTGTGATTTCCTTGCTGGTGCTCAAACATAGACTGGTAATGCTGTTTAACCCCAGGGAGGCACTGTGATTTCCTTGCTGGTGCTCAAACATAGACTGGTAATGCTGTTTAACCCCCAGGGAGGCACTGTGATTTCCTTGCTGGTGCTCAAACATAGACTGGTAATGCTGTTTAACCCCCAGAGAGACACTGTGATTTCCTTGCTGGTGCTCAAACATTGACTGGTAATGCTGTTTAACCCCCAGGGTGGTACTGTGATTTCCTTGCTGGTGCTCAAACATAGACTGGTAATGCTGTTTAACCCCCAGGGAGGCACTGTGATTTCCTTGCTGGTGCTCAAACGTAAGACTGTTAATGCTGTTTAAACCCCAGGGAGGCACTGTGATTTCCTTGCTGGTGCTCAAACATAGACTGGTAATGCTGTTTAACCCCCAGGGAGGCACTGTGATTTCCTTGCTGGTGCTCAAACATAGACTGGTAATGCTGTTTAACCCCCAGAGAGGCACTGTGATTTCCTTGCTGGTGCTCAAACATAGACTGTTAATGCTGTTTAAACCCCAGGGAGGTACTGTGATTTCCTTGCTGGTGCTCAAACATTGACTGGTAATGCTGTTTAACCCCCAGGGTGGTACTGTGATTTCCTTGCTGGTGCTCAAACATAGACTGGTAATGCTGTTTAACCCCCAGGGAGGCACTGTGATTTCCTTGCTGGTGCTCAAACATAGACTGTTAATGCTGTTTAACCCCCAGGGAGGTACTGTGATTTCCTTGCTGGTGCTCAAACATAGACTGGTAATGCTGTTTAACTCCCAGGGAGGCACTGTGATTTCCTTGCTGGTGCTCAAACATTGACTGGTAATGCTGTTTAACCCCCAGGGTGGTACTGTGATTTCCTTGCTGGTGCTCAAACATAGACTGGTAATGCTGTTTAACCCCCAGAGAGGCACTGTGATTTCCTTGCTGGTGCTCAAACATAGACTGGTAATGCTGTTTAACCCCAGGGTGGTACTGTGATTTCCTTGCTGGTGCTCAAACATAGACTGGTAATGCTGTTTAACTCCCAGGGAGGCACTGTGATTTCCTTGCTGGTGCTCAAACATAGAGTGGTAATGCTGTTTAACCCCCAGGGAGGTACTGTGATTTCCTTGCTGGTGCTCAAACATAGACTGGTAATGCTGTTTAACCCCCAGGGAGGCACTGTGATTTCCTTGCTGATGCTCAAACATAGACTGGTAATGCTGTTTAACCCCCAGGGAGGCACTGTGATTTCCTTGCTGGTGCTCAAACATAGAGTGGTAATGCTGTTTAACCCCCAGGGAGGCACTGTGATTTCCTTGCTGGTGCTCAAACATAGAGTGGTAATGCTGTTTAACCCCCAGGGAGGCACTGTGATTTCCTTGCTGGTGCTCAAACAATAGACTGGTAATGCTGTTTAAACCCCAGGGAGGTACTGTGATTTCCTTGCTGGTGCTCAAACATAGACTGGTAATGCTGTTTAACCCCCAGGGTGGTACTGTGATTTCCTTGCTGGTGCTCAAACATAGACTGGTAATGCTGTTTAACCCCAGGGTGGTACTGTGATTTCCTTGCTGGTGCTTAAACATAGAGGGGTAATGCTGTTTAACCCCAGGTTGGTACTGTGATTTTCTTGCTGGTGCTCAAACATAGAGTGGTAATGCTGTTTAACCCCAGGGAGGCACTGTGATTTCCTTGCTGGTGCTCAAACATAGAGTGGTAATGCTGTTTAACCCCAGGGAGGCACTGTGATTTCCTTGCTGGTGCTCAAACATAGACTGGTAATGCTGTTTAACCCCCAGGGTGGTACTGCTCTGAAAAAAGGTAATCCTAGCTCAGGGAGTGGACACTGCAGTCTATCCTGGCAGGTGTGTACCAACTATCTTTCTGCACATGATGATGATGATGAGTACAGAAAATACAGACTGGAGAAAGAAACTGTAACATCTGTGAAATAAACAATTATAACAATCTACCTCTTCTTCCTCCTTCTCTGTTGGCTCCTTTCCTTTCATTTCCAACTCCTCCTTCAGCTTCCTCAGTTCATCTTCCAGGTGAACTATACGGTCCTGCAGCTTCTTCCTCACAGAGTTGTGGATGGCAATCTCTTCCCGCAGGACATCTTGTTCACTGTCAGGGGACACAGATCACACAATTATTGTCTAAAGGTGTCCTATCATTATTATGGGACATCTTGTTCACTGTCAGGGGACACAGATCACACAATTATTATCTAAAGGTATCCTATCATTATTATGGGACATCTTGTTCACTGTCAGGGGACACAGATCACAGAATTATTGTCTAAAGGTGTCCTATCATTATTATGGGACATCTTGTTCACTGTCAGGGGAAAGAGAACACACAATTATTGTCTAAAGGTATCCTATCATTATTATGGGACATCTTGTTCACTGTCAGGGGAAAGAGATCACACAATTATTGTCTAAAGGTATCCTATCATTATTATGGGACATCTTGTTCACTGTCAGGGGAAAGAGATCACACAATTATTGTCTAAAGGTATCCTATCATTATTATGGGACATCTTGTTCACTGTCAGGGGACACAGATCACAGAATTATTGTCTAAAGGTGTCCTATCATTATTATGGGACATCTTGTTCAGTGACACAGAATGTCTTGTTCAGTGACTCAGGATAATGTGTTCACTGTCATACTGCCCATGGATGTAGGTTAAAAAACAAAACTGCTCACTGACACAGGACATC